GAGGGTCAGCCAGGGTCCTGGCACAGGGCCCCCTGCCTCTCTCATCCCTGCTGTCAGCCCAGCATCACCCCAAAATTTTGGGGCTTTCCGCAGTGCCTGCTTCTCTCATCTAGAAACTCTTTAGAAGTAAATGGGAAGCAACACCGTAACAACAGGGCAAAATGAGAGTATTTGCCCTGGCTACCTGCAGACCAGCTTCTGTGGTACGGCTGGGAAGCACCAACACCAGAGAAACTCTACAAACACCTGTTTTGGTACAATTAGGGATGTTGAATAAGCAAACACCCACTTGAAGTGTCAGACCACTGCCCTCCAGCCTGCCAGAGGGCTGATGGCAGTGCCACTGGCGAGTCCAGGAACAACCTGGGAATCCACTCTGGCAAACCGGACAAAAAATTGATTTCATTGGGCATACACAGAGCTATAAAAAACTTGGAGCCAGGGGACACTGGCTCCTTGTGGGAAAAATCCGGGGGTCTGGCTGCTCTGTATCAGGTGGCTGGAAAAGACAAGCTCGAAAGCTCCTATTCCACCTCTCTAATGTCTGGGATTCCCCCAGGATTAATTTCCAGTTTTTCTCCATCTGGAGACAAGTCCCTGCAGCCCTGAAGGCACAGCCAGGGGCGCTGTGGCTTTGCACACCGTGGGGCAGCACTCAGTGTCCCCTGTACAGCACAACCCAACCGGCGCAGGACCAGGGAGGGGTGCAGGAGGGGATGCTCTGTTATTCAGAGCAAGGCAGTGTGGCTATGGATGAGTCCGAGAAGATGAGTGATCCTAAAAGCAGGACTTCCTGACTCCAAAGCCGTATCAGAAAGAAGCAGCTGCTGTTCAGAAACTTGGGAAGAATAACAAGCAACATCTTTGGCAAGAGAAGGAGGATGTATCCTCATAGACATATGGTTAGTGGATTAATGTGCTTACCCACAGAAACACTCACCCTGAAGCTCCTTTCAGCATTTGGGGTGACTTTTCCAGTGGAGGCACCAGGAGCCACGGGATGGGGGTCGGCCAGGTGCTGTGCTGCGCTCCTGTGCCCCATACTGGGATTTCAGTGCCATTTTCCCCAGTGTCCCACCTGCAGTGCCACAATTTGCCACTGTCACCTTAAATTAAGCTGTCCAGCACCTCTAGAACAAGGCTCCAGCACTTGTCACAGGGACAGCCCCCTCCCCACACCCACCCACCTCCAGGTACAGGAACTCCTTCACCATGGACAGGAGTTGCTTAACACAGCTGCAAGCTGTGGGTCATTTGCATTTTGGGGTGTTTTCTCGTGTTCCTTCCCCTTTCCGAGACGCTACACAGAAAGAAGAGCAGCAGCTCGCAGGTGCCCTGTGAAGAGGCATCTATGTCACAGGAGATCTGAATAGTATTTCTGTATGACCTCGCTTAGAGGAGATCTTGGCAGCTGCAAGGTCTTTGTAAGGACCACGGAAAATCCGTTTTTGCTTGCAGAGGGGTGTACATCCCTCCCTGGGGCTGGCACAAGACCTGCCTGGCTGCGAGGGCCTGAGGCTGGGGCACAGAGGATACTGGCCATACTTGGGTTTTGGGATGCCCTCTTTTTTCTACTGCCTCCCTTGCAGAAATCAGAGAGAAAGGCTCGTGGTAGGCAAGCTCAGTTTGAGCTCAAATCTGACCACAAAGGCTGAGGATGTTTCTCCACAAATGTCCAGTTAAATCAGCAACTTGGCATCCAGTAAAAATGTCTGTGACCCTTGCAATGTGCCCCGATTCCCTGCCGTGAAAAGCTGTTGAAGCAAACATGCCCTTTCCAGAGTTTCGTTTTCGTTTCCCTTCCATGCTGGGGTCCCGCGGTGCAAAACATCACCCCATGTGTCTCTTGCACACCACCTGCCCCGTGCTCATCTCACAAAACACATCCCTGAACTGCAGTCAGGAGCGAGCCAGCAGAAGTGAGGAACCCACCTATGGGATCACTCCAGCAAGGCTGGGTGCCTTGCGTCCAACAATGACCTTGCCAAGCCTGAAGGACACCAGGAGCCCAAGTGAAATGCTGCCACCAGGTGCAGAGGTTTCTCCCGTCTCCCCTTACCTTTGGCTGCTCCAGGCTCTAACATTTTTGGTAAAAAAAGGGCTCCAGGCAGGACTCCAATCCTAGACTCCCTTTTCTAGCAGCTTCCCTACCGCTGCCCCACGCAATCCAGGTGAGAGCGGGTCCACCTCCAGGCTTCAGGGCTGCCCCCGCAAGAGCCTGGGAGGGAGAACTGGAGCGGAGATTTATTTTAGCTTCAGTTTCCTCTTTCCTTCCCCTTTAGAAAGAAGAAACAAAAACCCAGAGGTATGTTATATTAATTTATTTGGGACACACCAAAAAAAGGAAAGTCAACAACTGTTAATGTACAAAAGTACAGAATCCTATGACAAGATTTACTGTCCTGATTAAAAAGGCACCATGGTCCCAAAGAAGAGTAATCAGAATGCGTCACTTAGAAATTTTCCCCCTATTGCAGTAGAAACAGAACCAGGCTTTGGCTCTATCCACAGTCAAACCCAGTTAAAAAAAAAAAAAAAGATTTAAACATAATAAACACTCCTCAGCCTGTACAAGATGTCATGAGAAGAATCACAGCCTGGAAAGTTTCGGGGTTTTTTTTTCCTTTTTCTTTTTTTTTTTTTAAACAGCAAAGGTAACAAACCACTAAGTGTATAACTGAGGAAGACAGCAGAGTTCTGATGTCTTCAGTTCAACTTTCTGTAAGACACGTCAGTTAAACTGAAACTAGTAGGCTGAGCGTGGGGCTTCTGAAATGCAATTCCCTGTGGTATACAGGAAGTCAGATTCGACAACCTTGAATTCCCTGAACATCACAAGCGCTGTACAGTTGTGTTCCATATTCGAGTCAACCCTGGTGGATTTGCTTTACACGCAAGCGTTTACGCTGCCAGCTATATTTGTAATATAAAGGGGGTTTTACAGCAGTTATTACAAAAATTCTACTTCGGCGAGGTCTGAGCTTGGCTGTATTCCCTGCTGAAACAGAGCTGCTGGTGTAAAAGCCCAGTGAAAGGCTCAAGTCCAGCACCTCAGGGCTGGAAGGCAAATAGTTTAAATGTGACATAATTTGCATGGGGAAGTCAGCGAAGCACGTCAGAGACAGGGGAGGGCTGCGAACTCTGGAACAACAAAGGCCAAAGGGTGTTGTAGAACCTTTTACTACGCTACGAGTGATGTGGAATATGCCAAGTTCATGAGTTTACTAAATAGTTTGGAGCAACTTACCATGAAGAACTTCTCAGAGACAGAGTAAAGATCCCGGCAATTAGTAACACACAAGGTCACTGGGAAGCCGATGCATTGCTCAGAGACGGACGGACGTGTCCGTAGGCGGAGGGATAGAGCCGAGGTACGCTGGAGCTGGCTGGAGCAGCAAGGCTGGGGCTGCTGCCGCCTCCTCCTGTGCTTGTTAGCTCTGCTGCGTCCCCATCGGAGCAGCGGCTAATCTGCGTTTCATTCCTCCTTTGGCATAGGACTTCAAAGCAGTCCAAGAACTGATTCATCAAAAGTAAAGGAACTGTCAAAATTATTCGTACATGCATTTATTGTTAAAGGGAGCAAAAGCCAAAGAATGAAACAGCACGAGTTAACGTCAGTAAAATGATGTGCAGGACGGAAAGGAAAGAAACGGGGAAAAGCTGAGATACTGGAGTGGGGAAACCAATGTTCACACTGAAAGGTAAATTTGAAAACCAGGCAAGTTTGCGCTTTTTCTACCAGAGAGCTGTGGACGAATAGAGACTTGGGGTTTAAAATTTTCAGTGCAGGCTGGCAAGGTTTGGGAATCTCACCAGAGAGATCTCCAGCACTAGGTTTCACCGAAAGTTCAAGTCTCTCATCTTTAAAAACCAGTAAAACAACTAACTAAAAATGGCAGACACCCTCGTACTGCGGGCATCTAAACTCACAGACATGTCACTGCTCAGGATGTACGTGGGCAAGAGGGTTATGCTTTGCTCAAATAAACTCTGGATGGAAAACTACCACTTCCACTCTGCTGGTCTGCACGGACCTCAGCAGGTGGAAAAGCAAGCCCAGATTTAGGTGCCTTTTGTAAATACCACAGCTACCCACACCCGGCAAGGCTTTTTTTTCTGCCCTATAGTCCAGGAAGGCAGAGTAACAGTTTATAAAATTCTTCCCATCTTAAAACTAAATAACGCAATTTGTATCCTTCCCCTAACTCAACCCCCCTCCCGCTCGGAATATAACACATTACCACTTCATTTAGGATTCACACCTCAGATCCTAGATTAGGGACTTCATGTTAAAACTCATCCAATTATGACGTTTATCCTGATCAAAGAAACATCATTAAAATAGAATCTTAGAACAAAACATTCAGAATCATCAATGCTTTTACAGCCAAAGCACTTCAATGTCTCCTGGTCTTTCTCCCCCCCTCCTCAAGCAAGAGAGCTATCCCTTCGCAAAACCGGAGGGTGCCTCTTCGGGACTGGGTAAGCTGAAAACCAGCTTCCTTCCTCGCAGGAACACCAAATTCTGCTGAAAGGGACCGAGCGCCTTTCACTCCCGCCAAAACCAGAGGGAGTCAGGGCTTTTCAGCACACGGATTTTCTGTCAGCAACAAGTCCAAGTTATTTCCCTGCCGTAAATCTGAGTCCTGTTCTGTACTGTTAGGCCACCACTGGCTCAGAAATGGTGAGAGACTTCCCAAACCCCACTGATGTAGACAGGACCATGGAAGAAGAGGCTTTTTTTATGTTATGCAACCTTAGATCATCTGATGTGTTCGAGCCTGTGCACCGTTAGCTGCTGACACCTTCTCCTTCCAAATTCACGTTTCAGTCCTTGCTGCTGTTGCCGTCGCTGTCCTAGCGCTCTTCCCCGGAGGCAGGTGTTCCTGAGCTCTGGCTTGGGGATCTGCAACAATCACTTGGTGGGATTTCAAACTTGCCTAAATGTGTGCACTGCCACCTCGTACTCCAGGAGCCCTGCCTGCTAACCGCAGCACGCGCTAGCAGTTTTTGACCTTCTCCACAGTCTCGTAGAACCCAGGCCTAACTCTCCTGATGCTCATCCGTATATGCTGGCACTCCAGGGGCATGGCGGTGCTCGTGGGAGTCGTGGTGCACCTGCGCTTCCTTCTGCCCCGCAGCGAAAAGGCCGGAGCCCCGCCGTTCTCCTCCCCCGCAGGGTAAGATTCATCCACACTCGTGCCTTCGTCTGATTGCTCTTTACTCTTGAATTTCACTTCCTTCACTTTGCTTCTTTCCTTCTCCTCCCTTGCAAGCTTTCTGAACTGCTCCAGACATTGTATCTTTTGTCTTCTTTCCATCATCTTCAATTCTTGCTTGTCTGTGAAATCTTCATAGTACATTTTCCTTTCACTTCTTTGATCTTCAAGAAACTTCCACTCGATGCTAGTCATTTTTATTCCACTGCATTCCTCCAGTTTATTTCTCATCTGCGTGTCTGTACAAAATACGTCAAAGAGCTTCTCAGAACTCTCGTTGAATTTGTCTGCTCGCTCGCTAAAAGCCTGGTTCTGTCTCTGCTTTCTGGTCTGATACAATCTGGTAAACTCCTCATACATTTTGAGGATAAGTTTCTTCATATTTTGCGTCGCGATGGTGTGCAAGTTGCAAACCAACCAGTGCTCTTGGAGGTGCTCAGCAAGCAACTGGGCTGCATCCTCTTTGGATCGCTGGGCCTGGCCAGCTCTTTTGGGCTGCAGTAAATACAGCATATTCTGAACCACATCCTTCTTGGTTGGCAGTATTCCCTGGGTGAAACCAGAAGACTCTACATATTCAACAGTCCCCAGAGTCTTCCGTGCTCTCACCTCGGTGTCCAGTGATTCCATCACTGCTCGTTTATCTAGTAGTTATAACATAATCTGAAAAACGAGGGGGAGAAAAAGAAAAAAAAAAAGGAGTATGTCAAACGAGGCTTTTTTATTATCCTGCAGCAAAAATAAACAGATAAGAAAACATGCTCAGACCACTAAGATCTGGGGTTTCATGGTGTACTCCGCTGCTGTTGGATGGCTGTGGTGCTAGCCCAGCCTACTTAAACATTTGCATGTCGAGACTATCTCACTCCTCTGTTGCGGTTCTTAAAGCCTAGTACTGTGTGTTTGCTTATGTTAATTAGTTTTTAATTGGGTTTTGGACTTCACATTGTAAATTACAGTAAATCAGGACCGCCCAGGGCACCAGACTTCAACTCCAGCACACGCG